ATAGAAACCCTGAGGTCCAGATAGAGTAGTACCATGTGATAATTAGGTGGAATAAAGCCAAGAAGCAGTCTGTGCCATCTAGGTTTGAACTCAAGATCCCCCTGATTAAGAGGAAAAAATGGACTCAAAGGAGCAGACACTTGCTGCTGTCTAGGTGGGGACGAGACACAGAATCAAACTTGAGGACTAGGTAGCTTTAGTGAGGACCCATGCAGCCTTTCCTCATAAGACAGAGTGAGGGTACTGTCTTCCTGCCTAGAGCCACATGGACAATGTCAGGAGTATGTGAAGGGTGGGCTCTGCAGCTAAGAGTCACCTGGCAAGTAGCCTTGTGAGTCTTAGTCACCCACCCGCCCACCCTACCTCCAGTTCCATGGTGTCTCCATGGGTGATAGTATCTCCAGGGCGAAACTCAGGTTTGGTACTGACCAGTACACTGCTAGTTTTTGGCTACCTCATCTCACCTTATTCCACTCAGAGGCCAGCCCATGGTAATGTTAAGCCTCAGAGGAGCCTGGGAACTAGGGTTAGGGAGGGTCCTGGAGGGTAAGCACAATCTTTCTTCCTGTAGACGGCCCTCAGCGCCTTTTTCCAGGAGACCAACATCCCCTACAGCCACCACCACCACCAAATGGTAAGTGTCCCCTGGAGACCCACATGTAGCCCCACTGGGGGCTTTCTGTTCTGGACATGGAGGAAGTAACCCCCTGGCCCAGGGAGGCTTCCAGTGGAGGGCAGTGGACATGTGGCTGAACTTTCTTGAGATAGGCCTGCAGGAGTGTGGGCTTAGTGGGCACCCTGGATTCAGTGGGACCTAGGTAACACTGGCCCTTGGAGCTTGGGCTTCTGCTTATACAGTGGGGGTGTTATGCTGACTTAGGGGGCTGGAAGTGCCTCCTGGCCCTACACTGGCCAGTGTTTGGACCTGTAGCCCAGGTACCCCAGTAAAGCTGGGTGTGCCCAACTCAGTGCCTTTCCCTGTGAGCCCCAGCATTGGCATCAACTGGGCCAGGACAAAACTCAGGTGGCATCTGGGGAAAAGGGTATAGGGACACCTGTCTCTTCAGAGGCAGTGGGGACCTTGGGGCCTTCCCAGAAAGGGGGTGCTTACCCCTCCCTCTCTCCTTTCTTTCCCCACAGATGTGCACTCCTGCCAACACCCCTGCCACACCTCCCAACTTCCCTGATGCTCTCACCATGTTCTCACGTCTCAAGGCTTCAGAGAGCTTCCACAGTGGCAGTAGCGGCAGCCCAATGGCCACAACAGCTACATCACCCCCACCACACTTCCCCCTTGCTGCCACTGGCAGCTTTGTGGCACCCAGCTGGCCAACTGCAGCCTCACCCCCTGGGGGCCCACAGCACCACCAGGCACAGCCATCCCTGTGGACTCCAGCACCCCCTTCTCCAGCTTCAAACTGGCCACCTCTGGCCCCTCAACAAGCTGCTTCAGAACCCAGGGCTCACCCTGCCATGGAGGCAGAGAGATAAGAGAGGCCCCTCCCCCCTCCCGGAGGCCAGGACCCCGTGGGGCGGGGGAGAGGATGTCTCCATGGGCCCCCTTCACCTTTCCTCTGTCTGCACCCCTGCGCCCTGGAGCCCTGGAGGGGAGAGATGGACTCTAGCCAGGCAGGGATACATCTTGTGCCAACATGCACAGCCACACACACGCAAGTTCATGGAGCAGAGGCATGCGGTCCCCAGCTCTCACAGATTTGGCTCAGAGTGGCTTGGGTGCCTGGTGAGCAGCACTTTGGAGACCGAACAGCCTTCCCACAGAAGAGGACTCATCTACCCTGCCCTGCCCTGCCTTGCCCTAGCCCCGGGGCACTGTGGACAGTCATCCAGCAGAGACATGGCTGGCTACTGACTGGGAGCTCCCTACAGCCAGCAAGCCTAGATCCCTACACTTGGGAATGCAGAGCCTTCTCCGCATGTGTGCGTGTAGCTGTGTATATGTATTTGTTTGTATGTCGCTCTTTAAAAAGCAACCTAGTTAATGGGGCACCTGGACTTTGCATGTTAGAGCAAGCCCCAAGTCCTGGCCCACCACCCCTCTCCCCAGGGCCCTGCCTCACCCCACCACCCTCTTGTCAGCCTGCACTGCTGTTCCCCTTGAGAAAAGGTTTATGGGAAACTCCAGGACTCTATCCTCCCATCCCCATTGCCTGCCTGCTGGGACTGACTGCATGCCTTCCCCAGAGCCCAGGGGTACCTGGTCTCTACTTTCTTTCCCCCTTTTAACAAAAGAGAAGAATTCCAAACTGTCACCAGGCTCTGTGGTCTTGCCTCACATCCTAGGCTGGTACCAGCTGGTTATGTGTGGGTGGGGCAAGCAGAGCACAGGTCATCTTTGGTATCACTGAGCTCCACACTGTTCCTCTCATTGTCTTTTTCAACCACAGTGTGCTCTAGAAACTCCTGCCCACCCAAAGCTTTTCCCATGAAGTTAATTTTCTGACCTGTGTCTCCAGAACCTCACCCCTCCCACCACACAGGTAGGACAGATCTTTTTTTTTTTCTTTTTTTTAAATGTATTTGGCACAGGGTCTCACTATGCAGCCCTGACTCATAGTGGTGCTCTTGTTTTCAGCCTCCCCACCACTGGGATTGCAGGCATGTACCACCATGCCCAGTCTCACTGGAGGGCTCAGCACACCCAGGGGTGAGACTGGCATGTGGTCTCGGGGATCAGCCCCCCATCCCTACATTTGCCTAAGCAGGCACTTAGTCCACTGAGCTATCTTGTTGGCCCTCAGGTGGACACATCTTGACCCCCCAGTTTTGGGCAGTTAACAGCTGCCTCCATTTTCCTAGGTTTTATATAGGAGTACTCTTGGACTCTCTTGAGTCCAGCCTCCAGCAGCAGCCCAAAGATGTTTCCCCTCCATCACTCCACAGCACCTTTATGGTAGGAGAGGGAGCTCTAGCCTCCCATTCCTTCATTCTGGAGCTTCTCCATTCTGGAATGGAGAGAAATTCTTGGAACACTGCCATTCACACCCATAAGTGGTAAGGAAAGATTTTGCAGAGGAGAGTTAAGGGGTCAGTTACCTGCCACACTTCATGAAGCTAGGTGTCCCATGTGCACCATTTAGGCAGATTGCTGTGGTGACTGTAAGCATCACCTATTGATGATGTCCAGCTTGTGTAGTTGAAAGCTGAACACCAAGTTTTAAGAACCCAACAACATTTGTGTGCCCTGTACTTGACTGGTACCAAAGTGATGTCCCAGACCAACATCCTCACCCAGGAGATGCTGACACTGAGGCCACCCTACCAAGTCCTGGGGACCGCTGTGAGCTGGACCTGGAGGTCTCAGATGCTTACATTAGGACAGAAAGGACTTAAAAGGTTCTAGGTCTGGCCTTTCTAACCTCACCACTGTTGATATCTGGGCCCCAAATCACTGTCTCTACACCTTAGGATGCACACAGCATCCAGGCCACCTATTAAATCTAGTAGTGTCCCTAGTTGTGACCATCACAAAGGCAGTTGCCCCAGTGGAGGATTCCTCCCTAGTCCTGGGGTTTACATACCTAGCTGTCAGGCCAGCAGACCAAAGGTTCCTGACCCTACTAGGCAAGCCTGGGAGAGACTTCCCCAGGAGGTAGCTGCAAGCCATCTGCCTCCACTAACAGCCACTTGCTATGCCAAGAAGGTGTGAGCTTCATGGTGTGCCAGTTACACCTAAAAGCTGTTACCAAAAATAAAACGGCTCCTGGAAGATGCTGAGGCAGTTGCTTGGGAACTACTAGAATTGATCCCTGAGCCTATAGAGTGAAAATCCCCGAATCCTTGTGAAACACTTGAATTCCTGGCCTTACTCCTGAGGCAACTGCCCTAGAGAAGGCTGCTAGGATCTAGGCTAGTTTTTCTCTTCACAGTGTTGGGAATGGAATATAGGGCGCTGCGGCAAACAGTGTACCCTGGCCCTTTAAGTATTTTGAGAGGGGGTCATGCTAAATTGTATAGGCTGGCCTCAAACTTGAGATCCTCTTGCCTCAGCCTTCCAAATAGGTGGGATTTTTCCCCTCAAAAAATAGGTGGGATTATAAGTGTGCACTACCACACTCAACTCTTACCTGATTTTAATGTATCTTAGACAAGGTGGGAACTCTGAACCCTCTCCTAGGAGGGAGCAATCTAAAAGCCCTAGGTAAGGTAGGGCTGAAATTGGGGCCTGGAAACTTGGTGTTTCAGTAGATCCAGAGGCCCTGCCAGGTGTGCTTCAATCCCTGGCCTAAAAAATCTAGAAAAAGAAGCTTGAAGAGTGGGCCAGTACTAAACCAGGTATGTTGGCACCATAATCCGATGTGCCTGTAATCCCAGCATTTTGGGTAGCTGACAGGACAGTAAATTTGAGCCCAACTTTAAATGACAATGAAACTGGAAAAAATGCCAAAACCAAAAATGGCTGGAGATAAAGCTCAGTGTGGAGATCCCAGGTTTAGTTCCTAGTACTCAAAAAAAAAAAAGCCAGTACTTCAGGGGAGCCAGAGGTGACCCACAAAAATATACCATGTGCCCCAAAAATCAAATGTGAGAAAACCTGGAAACTTCTGTGGTGTAATCCAAGCTTGGAATTGAGAAATTCCAGAAGCAAAGTTTAAGACTTAAGATAATCCATGTGTTCAAGAATTAAGCTGGGTGAGAAGCCAAGGGCCAAAGTTCTAACGAAACACCCACACTTGTAGGCCACCCTAGTCAGGCTTCATTGCAGGCTCTTCTTGGAAGCTGCCTGAGCAATACAAGGAAACTAACTAACCTTGTTACTTTGACATCAGCTTTTTCAGAGCTGGTTATGCCCTGCTTGCCTACCAGATTGGAGCTTCAAGTAACTTTCCAAAGTTCCACTATAACAAACACCACATTTGCACCCACAAAGTTGCTAAAAGAATGACTTTAAGCTTTTCATATCTGAATACCAAAGAGAATTTTGCAGTATTTGTGAATGAAGACCTGGCCTTGTCCAGTGACAAGCAGTACCTGTGCCTATCTGAGGAAAGAAGTCACCCTCGTGTGTGCTGTGTTGTGTGCCTTATAGAGTGTCACATATTTTGTTAAATGTGTTTACCAACATTTTTAAATCAAGAGGGTTTATGTGAAGCGCTCCATTTCTGACTAATCTTGGTAACTGTAATATATGTCCCAATTTTCCATAAGGCCCCAGTTGGCTGGAGCTGACCCAAAAGGCTAGGGATACAGCCTTCCCATCCCTGCAAGGCCAGGCCCTTCCACTCCAATGACCACACAGATGGTCATTTCCAACTGGTGCCATGGAATCTGCTGCATTTTTGAAGAGAAGTGCTTTTCACTGCAAAGCACCTACAGATGTAAATACCCTGCTTGGTAGGGTGGAGGGACACCTAGCTTCATATACATAATACTAAGCTGCTTTCTGTGGCAAGCAAGGCTCCTCCTTCAGACAGCCTTAAAGGGAGAAAGGTTTGTTCTCCAAGTTTTGGACATGGAGCCACAACCAGGGCTACTGAGTGTCCCTAGGACTTGTCCAGTGGACCACTGAGGTTCTCTAAGAAGGCACTGTGGCCAGCCCTGAAAACCAGGCTGTCTCTGAGGCTAGCTGTAGCCTTGGAGGTCTTTGGAAGGGGCAGCGGGGGGGGGGGGGGAGGGGTTGCATTTCACAGTAGTTCCAGGACAGATGAGCCCTTTGATTCAGATCCACCTCGTGGCAAGGCTGCCTGTATTAGCCAAGATGGGGTCTTTCAATGCAAAGTTACTTCCAACTCTCAAATTTGGAAAGGTCTCTGGGTTTGTAGCCACAGCTTATATTTGGGCAAGATACACATGAAGGAGCCTTAATACAGTCATTTGTGGGGTGAGGTAGTGCCAAGTCTTCCCTCACCCCAGTGAGACTACTGAAAGATGGCCAAGGCCTTTTCAGGAGCACAGTACAAGGTGTTGGGGGTCTGTTGGCAAAATCTTTTCTCTGCTTTCTGGAGCCTATTCTCATGTCCTAGGGAGTAACAAAGCTGCAAATAGCATTTTCTGTAGATCTTGATGAAGTCCTGAGTTACGGGAAGAAAAGGTGAGAAAATAGAAACCTTTCGTGCTGTGTTCACAGAGTCTCTGCCTAGAGCCCCCAAATCCACAGGCAGTCAGAGGTGTAACAGGGATCTGTGTGTGGTGAGTCCTCTGTCCTTAAAAGTTGTCACCATGAAGGCTCTTCTGCAGCCTGCATTTCCACCCACCCCACCATCTGCCTTCGAGCACTGGCACTTCATTTTCCCAGTGTAGATCGCAGGCCTTGGAACACATTTACCTTTATCAGGAATATATATCTTAGGTTAATGAGTTCATGGTCTTTGAAAGGGACCTTTCACTTGGGCTTGTTGGTGTAGGGTAGTCACTATGCAATCCCTGCTCCATTCCAGCAGCACCTACAGGCTGCTCTACAGAAGCCATCTCCTCCATCTTACCTGGCTTAATTTGTGTCCCAGAAGTCTCACTCCGCACAAGACCAGTTCACCTCCGTCTAAAAACTCAGAGCCCTGGTTCCAGGAAATCCCCTTGGGCAAGCCAGGAAGAGGTTGGTCACTTGCCCCCTGTCTAGCTTGGCCTTGTTATGGCCCAGGCTGGGTGCTGTAGCCACTCCCCTTTCATACAGGAAGCTGTCCAAAATGGAGTCCCACTGTTGCCACATAGTGTCCTGTGTTGCAGAGGAGTCACCCATGCTCCTGAAGCGGCTGCCCAGAGCCTTTGGATTGGTACAGCTCTTCCATAAGCCCCTGAGGCCTGCAAGCCCACCTCTTCCCAGGGACAGGATTGTCTTCTGGGATTACTCCTGGCTGAAGTGCCCCACCAAGTACCCAAGAGGCCTGTCTGAATGCAGACAGGTTACACATTGATCAATGGGGCCCTCACTTCTTATTCCCTATAAGGACCAACTCAAGCACTGATGTTTCATGTTTGTAAACCTCTGAAATGAGCTCAGAAGGTGGCCTTGAAGAAAATGAATGGAGGTAGCTAGGAGGCTGTGAAGGAAGAGTTGTGCCCAGCTGTGAGGACCAAGGATAGGCCCTGGGTGCCAGTGTGTTGGCAATGGGCTGCTCCCAGGAGCCCCATTTTCCCAATTAACTCTAGCTAGAACCACAGCTCCCTTGGCGGAAGAGGGAATGAAGCCAGGCCTCTGATACTTATGCACAATACCCATCAGGTGTGGCCTCCTGAAAAGCGTAACAAAAAAAAAAAAAAAACCCTGTAACCTCACAGCTGAGGAAGGTTTATTGTGAGTACCTGCTGCCACTTGGCCTGGGTGGGCTGGGGTAGGTGTGGGAGGCTGGTGCTGGGAGTGGCAACTAGAGAAGGGACCAGCAAGTCCTACTCATCCACAAGGAGAGGGTAAGACCACCCTCTGAAGAGTAGACCTCATCTATAGTCGGACAGGTGGAAGATTTTATTCTGGGCAGAAGTTGCAAAAATACTCATCTGTGATGTGGAGGTAGGGGCTTGGGGTATGCCAGCCAGTGCCCCCACCAAAGGCAGTATGGAGAGGAATCACCTGGGTCAGGAAGCGCTTGGCCTCATTTGGATAGAGTCCTTGGAAAAGAAAACACCAATCAGCTGAGAGGGTGAGGCAAGACTATCACAATTTTGAGCACAGTCTGGGCTACTTAGCAACTTAATGAGATTCCATCTCAAAATATAAAAATGGGCTAGGAATATGGCTCAGGACAAAGGTCCTGGGTTCAATCCCCAGTACCACCAAACGAAAACCAAGTCAGGGCAATGTCAGGAGGGGCCTTGGGAACTTTAAGAATGAGCAGGCACATAGCAACCCTCAGGCACGGACAGCCTCCCAGCCAGGGGTTGTTCCTCCACACCTGTCACTGGGGGCCCGGGGGCTCCTAGTCCTATCCAGAGTCCTCCCTTCTCCAACTTATTCCTAGACAGCTCTTGCCACCAGCCACCAATTCCTTGTATTTAGTTAGCACTGAGGGAGTAAGTTACACCCAAACTGTGCAAAGGGAAGCTCTTTTGTCTCTGTGAAATGAAACAGAACGATGGACAGTAGAGAAAAAGAGAGGGCAGGACTCAGAGTGAGCAAGTGAGAAAAAGGAGAGACTGAGGGGCTGGGAGATGGCTCAGTGGAATAAGCACTTCCCTGGCAAGTGCAAGGGCCTGAGTTCAATCCCCGGGTCCTCAAAAAAACAAAACAAAACAAACAAACAAACAAAGAGACTCAAAGAAGAGGAAGGGACAGTTAAACAGTCAGAAGGGGAAGGGATAAAGCCAGATCATGATCCCAGGGCGATTTCCATATGGAGACTTTGTGACTTCATGGTTTGCTCTTTTCTGCAGCAAATGTATGTGCTATAAATAGGAGAAACTGCTGGTGGGGATCCCTGCTACTGGTACAGTGTCCCTGGAGAATACTGTAGTATTCTCCAGGGACACTGTACCAGTTTCCTTGTAGGTCAGCCAAGAAATGAAAAGGGACAATCCAGTTCACAATAACAACACACACACACACACAAAAAAAAAGGTTGCACACAAATTTGGTTGCCATGGGAAAACTGGTCCTAGTAGAAATAATGGTCCTCAAGTAAGAGGCACAAAGGCAGGAGCTGTAGTGGGAACTGATTCTGATGGCATCATTGCAGCAAAATAAAAAGCAGAGAGGGCTTTAAAGCCACATTAACAATGTTATGTCAAAAATTAAGGAATTTCATGGGTTCAGTGAAAATTAGACTCAAGCTTAGTTGTCCGTGAAAATGTAAGTACTGTGCTGTTTGCATAAATAACAAAAGAAACCAGAGTCAACATGGAGACCTCCCTACATAGATGCAGACCCCACTCCTATGTCCAGGGCCACTGGCTCATTTCCTAGACCAGTCACAGGGCCCCAGAGCCATGGAGGAGACCCAGTAGAGGATGGGGTGGGGCTCACAAGCTGGTAGCCTCCTCCACAGTACGCGTGCTGGCTCGGGATTCAAGGTGTGGAGATCTTACGTGTCTGGTGAACTCTGGGGTCTGCTGTGGGTCCCTTGAGGGTGGGATGAGTGGTGGAAGCAGTGTTAGAGGCTGCAGAGATGGTGGGCGAGCCAGCGCTGCAGTAGGAGTGCCTGTGGCAGTTGAGCTGGTGCTGGCTCGGGGCCCCAGGGCTGGATAGAGGGAGGGAGAAACCTGTGTTGTATCTGAAGAATGCTCTCATTCTGTCAGCAAGATAGCAATCTAAAGCCCTAGGTTAGGCGAGCTTGGGCAAAGTGCAGGGACTGAGGTTCCATCCCCAGCACCACATGCCCCATCCCCAGGGCAGGCTGAGCTGCCCCCCCCCACCCCCCAAAAAAAGAATGCTCCCAGGAGCTGCTGGCCCAACAGGGTCCTCCTTGTTAGAGGAAGAGAAGACCAGGACTGGAAGTACTTTGCAGGTCATGGCAGGGCAGGAGACCATGCTTTTTCTAGTCCTGGGCATCCTACACTTCCAGAGTATGACAGTAAATGAGTTCCAAAGCGAAGCAGTGCACCTGGGGAGGGCACAAGGCTTAGATTCTGGGGATATAGGCTCAGGTTGTTGGGAGCCCCTTGCCAAGAAAGATATGTGAGCTCCACTGTCCCACCCCTGCAGCTGGATGTTTGGGGACAGACACCTGGCTTGGCTTCTGGAATGGTGGCTAGGACTAGAAAGCAACTCTGAAGGTGAAGCAAGAGCCTGGACACCTGAAGGCCTGGGTCCCACTCTTAGCCAAGGCAGAGGTACTGGATGGGGGCTACGTCAGGGATCCCCTCAGAACTCTGGTGCAGTATAGGTGGGCAGGTGGCTGAGATGGGACAGGAATAAGCCCCCAAGCTGGAGGTTAAGGGGAATGGGCTTGGACTAGGAGGGAGCAGTTGGGCCAGGGAGTTGAAGGTAGGTACTCACGGGGATAGACAGCACCAACTAAGGCACTAGAGCGTACACGGTCACACAGACTTTGACCTGGGGGACATGGAGTCTTCACAGCTAAGGAAAAAAAACAACAGGTGGGGGATGAGGCCAAAATTTTCACTCTAGTGGGACCTGCCCTGTTTCTAGGGCTCCTCTGCCACATACTCAATAGAGGCAAGAAAGCTACTGAAGCCACCACTATCCATGTTCTGGTTTCCTTCCTGGGTCTTGGGACCAAATGACCACTTGGGGAAAAGCAATAACTTTGCAGGAGACATCCCTGGGGAAGAGTGATAGGAAATGAGGGGTCCCAACATAAACTCTATCTGCCCTTCATCCTATTATAAATCTCATCTGCCCTGCCCCTTACTGAGTGCACTGTCCCAGCAAGTTGACCCTTCCCTGGGGGTTCATGAACAGCCTCACCAGGTTTTTGTAAGCAAGAGGAGGTGGGGATCCCTTGGCAGAAAGTTGAGGCTCGTTAAATATTAGCCCATGTTGCTGCCTTGTGTGGTGACCCCTGAAGCCCAACCCAAGCTCCTCCCATTGGATCCACAGTGGGGGGCCTAAGAGCAGCCACACCATACCTGGGCAAAGGGCAGAAGATACAGTGTTCTGCCCTCCTAGAAACAGGGTGGGACCTGTGGTTGTTTGCATGGTGGTCCCCAAAAAGATATATCCCCTGGAAACTGTGGGTGTAACTTTATCTAGAGAAAAGATGCTGCAGGTATAAAGACGGTGAAATGAGATTATCCTGGGTCACACTGAACCTTAAATCCAATGACAAGTGTCCTTATGAGAGACAGAAGAAGAGGGGACACATGGAGGATGGTATGTGAAAAAAGAGGTAGAAATTGGACTGATGTGGCCACTGCTAAAGAATGCCTAGAGCCATAGGAGTTGGATCTTCCACAAGAGCCCTTGGAGAGAAAGATGGCCCTCTTGCCACCTTTGGTTTTGGAATTTCACTCTCCCAAAGTGACAGAATAAGCTGCTGTTTGCTGTAGCAGCCTGGTGTGCTTTTCTTTGTCCAGCACACAAGGACAATTCCCATTCCTTTCTTATCATCTAGGATATAAGTCCTCTCAGTGGGATCACCCATTATGGCTCTTGGACCTCTCTTTAGGAGGGGAGGTGTGGCTCTCACCCACGGACAAAATTTAGACTTCTTTCCAAAGAGAAAGCACTCTAGGGCAGGGGACATGGTTCAGCGATAGACTTCTTGCCATAGATGCATAAGGCCCTGAGTTCAATCCCCAGCACCACAAACACACACACA